GCTCTCAGCTACTTCTCTGGTGCCAGGCCTGCTTGCCTGCTGCCATGTTCCCCACCATAATAATCATAGACTCTAACACTCTGAAACTGCGAGCCCCAAATGAGACGCTTTCTTTTTAAGTTGCCTCGATCATGTTATTTTGGTACAGGAATAGAAGAGTAAGGAACACATTTAGCAAATGGTCTTACCCACTAAACCAGTGGTCCTCAACCTTCCTAACACTGCAACCCTTTAGGCACAGTTCTTCATATTGTGGTGACCCCCAACCATAAAATTATTCCTGTTGCTCCTTCATAGGTGTAATTTTGCTATGGCTGTGAATTATAATGTAAATATCTGTGTTTTCCGACGGTCTTAGGCGACCCCTCCAAAAGGGTCATTCGATCCGCAGAGGGGTCTCAACAGGCTGAGAACCACTGCAGTAAAACATCGCCGTGAAGCAAGGATTTCAGGTGTTTGTTTCCCAGCATCATGGGCTTTGGCTCTCTTGCACAGCCCTGAGCTTTTTCTCCCATGCCCTGTTACATGAGGGCCTTGGTAGTTAGGATTTTCAGTCCTCCTCTTCATTGCTGCGCAGAAAATCTTCTTCTTGTTGTTGTTGTTATTGTGTATGCGTACGTGTGAGTCACGGCCAAGGTTTAGCGGTTAGAGCTCACTTGAGGGAGTCCATGATCTCCTTCTACAATGCATGTCCCAGGGGATTGAACCTGGGTCTTTCAGCTTCAGCAGCGAGGCAAATGCCTTATACCCCTTGAGCCGTCTTGCTGGACCCCAGCTGGTTTCTTTCACGTGCCTTTCAGTGCAGGCATTTGCCCACATGATAGTGGGGCCTTTGAGAATAGCCTCAAGGGCTCCTCACCAGCCCTTGCCAGTGGGATGGAGAGCCTTATAAGAAGCTTTGGCTTGCTTGCCCCTCTAATGTCACCATGTGTGACTCAGCCTTAGCTCCCTCCAGCAGAAAGAAGGCTCCAGGTTCTACCACATCTAGTTTATTTTGTGTATGTGCCGTGATGCACCTGTGGAGGTAGAGGACAGACTCTGGAAACTGGTTTTCTCTTTCCACCAGGCACGTGAGCCCCAGACACTGAAGTCAGGATGACAGGCTGGGTGGCAGGCACTTTTATTCCCTGACCCATCTTGCCTGCCCCAAAATGCTGTCTTGGAAGCAGACACCAGGCCCTCAATAAGCACAGCACATACATCTCAGCTGTGAGAAAGAACCCGTCAAATTACCCACTCTCTGGAACTGTGATGGGATGGCACAAAATGGAGTACGAAAGAAAAAGACAGAACTTTTTTTTTTTTTTTAAATTATCACTTACTTAATTTTAAACAAAGCACCCAGGTCTGGAAACGTGGCTCAATGTTTAAGAGCACAGGCTGTTCTTCCAGAGGGCCTGGATTTGATTCCCAGGACTCACAAGGCTTCTTGTAAACATGTGTTAACTCCAATACCCGGACCCAATGCCCTCTGCTGGCCTCCTTGGGTATTACACACATGGTGCACAGAACTCACCTATAAAGAGTTTTTGTTTGTTTGTTTGTTTGTTTTAAGATCTTAAAACAAAACAAAACCAACACCAAAAACCAAGTCTCAAAAGGCTAAGCACACCAAATTCTGAATCTGTTGAAATGCTCACAAAGGCTTCTTCTCATGCTGCACATTAAAGAATACCATTTTGATAGAGGTTTAATATCTCATGGTCAGTTTTTTTTCTTCTTCACTGACCACTTAATGCTTGCTTGTACAGAAGCAGGATCAAGTTTTACACAGTCTTTTTCCTAACCAGTCCCTCCCCACACTCCATCTGTACATGGACCACAGGCCCCTTGCAGAGCGAACACGGCTCTATGCGTGCATCGTTCGCAGGTGCCACAGGCACTTGGAGCGTGTGAAGAGCAGGGAGAGAAATGACACGAGGCAGACATGGCTGCAAGCGCAGGCTCACTGCACACCCAAAGGCAGGCAGTCTAGCCGGCCCCGGGACCTGTGGAGAGACAAAGACAGGGAGGACCACGACGGATGGTTTCCTCCCCTCTCAAAATGTGACAAATAAAAGCTGATACAGAGGCGAAAGACAGAGCCTTCCACAGTGGGGAACAGCGTGTGCTCTGTGGTCGTTTTAGAAGGCTTCATCAACCAGCAGCTGCAGAACACACTAGGAGAAGCTAATATTTGTGGCGCCAGAGGAATACGGTCAAAACCAAGCAGAAAGCTTTGATGCTTAGCTGGTGAGGATAGCACATCCTTGGAGCTGTGCCTTAAAGGGGCGTCCCTGCTAGCTGCTCTGACAAAACTTATGTTTTGTTCTGCATTCAAGAGCTTTGCTATAATGAAACACTAAAGATGAACAAAAGTTCAGCCACAGCTTAAATACACACATGGTACAAAAAATCTACATGTCAGTGAAAGAAAAAGGAAGGCTACTGGGTTTTAAAGATCCAGGTCCAACTGTTTGAACAGTTTTAGCAAGATAACAAGATAATGGTTTTATATTTATTACCTGCTTGTGTGTATACAGCTCCTCAGTGATGCTTCCTGTCAGAAGTGTGAAGAGATCAGAAAAGCTATACTCACAAATTAAGTTCAACTTCCTCTTAATCTAAATCGTATTTAAAGCTTTCTTAAAACTGAGAATTTAGTTTACTTTCCTCAATACCTTGTGTTTTTGCTATAGTTTTACAAAGACTCATGAACCATTGCCTTTTACCAGAATGCATATAATCATCTTCTTATTTTAGTTTACTTTGTTCACAAAAGTCTATCTTTATTTTATTTTTGCCCTTTTGAGACAGGATCTTGCTATGTAACACAGGATAATATTGAGCTTAAAAAAATGCTTGTTTTTAAATTTTTAATTATGTGACTGTGTGTTGGTCTCTCTGCGTGTGTGAATGTGCGTGCGTGTGTGTGTGTGTGTGTGTGTGTGTGTGTGTGTGTGTGTACAGGCCTCTGCCTGCAGAGGCCAGGAGAGGGCACTGTATATCCTGCACATGATGGTAAGCCACCTGAGGCAGATGCTGGGAATCAACCTGAGCTCTCTGCAAGAGCAGTAAGCATTCTTAACTGCTAAGTCATGCCTTAGTCCTTGACACTGAACTTTTGATTTTTCTGCTTCAACCTCCCTAGTGCTAGGGCTAGGCTACAGATATTTGACACCACACCATGCCTGGCTACATATGGAGAAGCAGTTCCTCATAATGAATATTCTAAAACGCAGACGTGTAAAAGTAACATTTATTTGCCTGACTTAATTGTTATCTTAGAGGCTGACTGCTTCCATCTGCTAACCTAGGTAGGCCTAGTCCTGGAATCTTCTAGCCTCCCTACAATTTAGGAATAAAATGTTTTCTGACTTGAATAAACTCACCCTTTCTAGTTCTTCTGAACTCTGGCTGGCTGGTTCAACTCTGGTGTTCTGGCTCAAACTCCTCTCCAAGATGACTGATTCAAACTGGCTTCTCTCTAGACTTCTGACTGAATTGCTCTGCTTGGCTCAAACTAATTCTAGCAATATGTTCTAATCTTCTAGCTCCTTCTCATTCTCTGGCTCGTTATATTTTCACCTGTGTCAAACTTGTTCTCTCTTCTACCTGTCTCTGTAAAACGCTTCTGGTAAAACTGCCTCTGAATTCCATGAACTGAACTGCTGTTGAAATCAACTCCACTGCACTACCCCCAACTCACTGACTCAGTGAACTACCCAAACAGAACTGACTAGAACTCAGAGATCTTCATGCCTCTGTCTCCTGAGTGCTGGGTTTAAAGGTGTGTACCACCAGGCTTGGACCTAAGCTTTTCTTTACCTGAAACTTGCTCTATACCAGGCTGGCCTTGAACTCAGAGATCTGCTTTCCTCTGTCTCCTGGGATTAAAGGTTAAGGGTGTGTCTGTATTCCACCTGAATCACACAGACCTAGAGGGTCTTCGGATGTGATCTCTTGACTGAGCAACCATGTTCTGAATTAAAATTCCTCTACACAGACAAAGTTTTGATTGCATACCTTAGTAGACTGTTAGGTTAGTTGTTAACCTTTTTCTTTCCCCATTGAGTAAATAAGGAAACAAATTCAGATTTTCTAACTACAGATTCTAAACTCATTGTTGTCCCAACCTGAGGGGGAAAAAAGCTTCTCTAGGTAAACTGCAGCTGATTGCAGCCCAGCGTATAAGTGCATTTGTTCACTGTAGAAACCTTCAGCTACACGGTGAGATTCAGTCTCAACACATACATGTATATGGATATTCATGCATAAAATAAAACAGATTCCTTCAACCCCAGCCAGTTTTTCTCCATATTCTGGCTTCTCATCTGGAAAGTTAAAAGTTGTTTAGCCCTGTGCTCACCCACAGTCCCAGATGCTTGTTATAGACCCGGCTACAGAACCATCACAAGCACACACACACACACACACACACACACACACACACACTTTGCTAGCATGTCCCTGAAAAGAAGTCTAATAAGATCGAGCAAACTTCTTTGCAGTTTCATTCTCTTTTCAGTCTGTTCGAGGTTGCTAAATTCACTGTTTTTTGTTTGACTTAAAAACAGTCTGAAAGTTGCCTAGTGTAGTGTGATGCGCGCCTTTAACCCTAGCACTCCAGAGGCAGAGGCAGGTGGGTCTCTGAGTTCAAGGTTAGCCTAGGCTAAAGAGTGAATTCCGGGACAGTCAGGGCTACACGGAGAAACCCTGTCTCAAAAATAAAATAAAATAAAATGTCTGAAAGTAAGTTTTCTAATTCACCCTACAACATAAAATAAAGTCAGCTACTGCTTAAGGCAAAAGCATTCAGTTCATTTAAGTACAGCTGTATTGGGGAGACTTCTGTAGGGAAATCCAAGGCTTACTTCCCAGATTAGATGTGGGGTAATGAGCTCATCCAAGGGGGCGGGACAGGGCGGGGCGGGGCGGGGCTCCATGGATCTATTTTTAAAGTGTTTATAAGCCCATCCTTCATTGCCAAAGACAGCAGACAAAGGAGAGACGAATCATAAGTAGCAGGTAGAGGCAAACTCCGAATAATCTGGGTTTCCGCAGAAAAACTAAAGGGTAACAGTACTTTAGTTTCAACAGAGACCGGCATGCTCGACTTTCTGGACAGTTCTAAAAGTCCACGAAGTTAGGCCCCAGGACGGCCGGTGCAGGCTGCTTTTGACAACTCCGGGCTGCTTGGTTGGCTGCTCTCTCTGTGTGAGAACCGAAAGGCCAGAAGGGGAGCTACAGAGATTCCTGTAACCACCAAAGCGATGTCCAGCGCCACTCAAGTCACAGCACTCTCACATTTAGAGTAATTGCAGACCGCTGGTGAGCCTTCCTCTCCGTGCAAAACTATGCTTGCTTGCGTGCACCTTAAGTTTCTATAACGTTGCTCACCCCAGCTCTCTTTCCCTTACCTCCGCCAGCGGTTTTCTTAGGAAGCCATTGAAGGGCAATCCACTTTTCACAGAGGAATCGTGGAGAGGTCAACTTAAGGGGTGTCTTGAACTTGGTAAGGGCAAATGAGCCTGGGGACTGTACAGAGCAGAACGTGCAACTCAGTCATGGGGACACTGGCTCCACAGCTCAGCCAGGGACACTCCCCCCCGCCCCCCGCCGCCGCCCCAGGTTTCGTCGGTGGGATGGAGATGATGTCAACGTGACTTTTCCTCTTGTTCTCCGGGATCTTGCAAAGTCCCTGGCTCTTGGTAGGTTGTTGATGCTTGGGTCATTTGGAGCGAGGATAAGTGGTGCTGTACTGGAGTCTTGGAGGCTCTTTCCTCCTAGAACTGTCTTTGGACCTTGCCTTCAGTAAACACTCTAGCAAAGGATCAAACCTCTAGATTATTACCCGGAGCTAAGGGCCAGAGGGATACCAGCAGGCAACTCCCATAGTGGAGCGGCATCCCCAAACAGCTGGTTCCAGCAGGCTAAAGATCATAACTAGTCGTGCTGACAGATACCGCAGGCGACTTTGGCCCAAACTTAAAGCGCAACCTGGAGCCGGGGTTTGCGGACTTGGCCCCGCTGCCTCGCCCTGTGTATCTGAACCGAATCCGGGCCAGACTACCTGCAATCGGGTAGACAGCCTCCCGAAGCAACTAAGAGAGCGCGTCCTCCCGGCGGGTCAGGAGGACGCGCTCAAACCGCAAGCTGGGCGCTCCAAGTCCGGGGCGGGATGAGTTCGCATCAGCGCCCCGCCCGGTCCCGCCTCCATCTCCACCCCGCGCCCCGGGGCCGGAGGGTGGGAGGGCGGAATTTCCCAGCGCGGGGGCTCCGGTGTCCCCGGCCAGCCGGCAGGCTCTTTCTGTTTACGGAGAGAAAGGGGAAATGGAAAAGGCGGGGAGGAGGCTGGCGTCGGCTGCGCCGCCCCGGGGCCGGTTCAGTCGCCTAGAGTCAGGGGCGCGCAGCGCAGCGGTCTTCCCGCGGCCGGTCCCCGGCCTCCCGTCCGCCGCTCGCCCTCGGGACTCCCGCACGCAGGCCACCCGCTGCACACAGAGCCCGAACCCCCGGCGGCCGCACGGAACCCTCAGGTAACCGGGGTTAATGTACCTTGAGTAGGTTTCGGGGGCGCCCCTCCTGGGGTGCCCAGGAGTTCCCACTCTGAGCCGGAGCGTGCCTCTCACCGCGGGGCACTCGGGTGGCCTGCTGCACGCAGGTACAGCTGGAAAGCACCTTGCGCAAGGCCGCGGGAGGTGTGGGCTCCCAGCTCCTCCCCCTTCCTCCTTCTTCCCGGATCTCGGGTGACCAGTCAGTGCCGGCCTGGGCTGTGGCGGGGGAAACGAGGACCCGCGCCCACCGCGGCTCCTGTGGGGGACGCTGCCTGGACGGCTGCAGTCTGGTTGCTGAGCCTGGGTGAGTGCAACTTGGAAGCCGAAGGACCCCCGCTTGGGTCGCTCTGTTGCTAGGTTCTTTTACAACATGCAAGCTCTTTAAGGCTTGGTTATCTTAAGGGGCCAGCTGGACCGGGAGGGAGTGTGGAAAACCTATTTGGGTCTGGGGGCGGCGGGGGGGGGGGGGGGGATCAGATTTGGGTAAGGGGGGGGGGGGAAAAAGGCAACGTATTTGCTTAGCCTTGCGAGGCTTCTGCTGAAGCACCCAGCTTTGATGGATCTAGGCATGTGTGTTCTAGTCCTTAAAGACTTTCTCCTATAGAATCGGAACAGGAGAGTTGAGGCGTCTGGAAATTTTGAAGCAGAGTAGATTTGCTTCTGCAGGGCTGGGGAGCATGTTTCTGGGACTTTCTCAACAGAAAACTACATTAAGAAGAGTAGTAAGAGGTTGTTTCAGTGGGGGGGAAATCCTTTTTGAAAATATGGGAAGTAACACAAGATATTCCCCCATTGCTAGGCAGAATATCAGGACTGTAGTCCGCATTTACTGCTGGGCAATTCGAGGTTTGTGTGGCTAGAAGCAGCCGAGAGCGTCCATTCCTCTTTTTTTTTTTTTTTTTTTTTTAATAGCTGCTTTCTGAACTAATTCTAAGTTAATTAATTCTCCATTCTGCTAGAACGGCTGGGTTTTATGGTGAGCATTTGTACTCTGACTCCAGGGGCAGTCATTTTAAGCTGAGCATGTTTGTCACTAAGCCGGAGTGCCTTCACTGTGCACGAAAAGGGCCACACTGGTCCCCCGTAGCTCAGAAGCCATTAGCAGGTGATCTGGTTAGTTCAGTCAGGAGAGTACAGGGCCTTTCCATGTTCTAGAGGCTGCTGGGGCATCTGGGTTGCTGGGCAGCAGATCTTTGTGACAAGAGCCTCTCAGGGATTGAGCAAGCCCTGCAGAAAGCCTCAGCGTTAAACACTCCTCCATGTCTCTGTCCTCTCCTCCGTGTGTGTGTGTGTGTGTGTGTGTGTGTGTGTGTGTGTGTCCATTTGGTGTGTATGTAGTATCCTTGTCTGATTTCTTAGGCTTTAAGCAAATCCTATAGGAAGAGTGCACATTTTGCTCCAGCCTCTCTGTAGGATTAAAAACCCAAACTGGTCTCTCTAGAACAGTGCAGCGACTATGGAATGTTTGGATCCGCCTCCCCTCCCCCCCCCCCTTTATTTTTCTTGAGTCAACTTTATTTTTGTTGTCAGGCCATTTATTTGATAATTCATTTTGGGAGCCTTGTGTCCCTTTACCCAGGGGGCCTTAAAGTCAACCATTTTTAACTTCTGTTTTCCTAGTAAATTCTACAGTTGCAGAAACTGCAACCAATGTCTCTGTGAAACTGAGGTCAAAGCTCTCTGTGTAATGAGACAAGTCGGGGGGGGGGGGACTTGAACCACAGATCTTCCTCAGTGTAAGATGTGGAGGAGGCACTGGTTTAAGTGTGGTGATAGCAGGCATCTGCATTCTTCATGGGTTTGGGCCCTCCTTCATGTTTCTCCTTCTGTTTCAGCAGAGACACAGTCTTTAAAAACTTACCAGAGAGAAGTCTGGCAAACGGGTGGACAGGCAACTAGGAGACAAATCCCCCGTGGAGATGAGAAAGGGGGGTGGCATGGTATGGGCTGAGCTGGGTCAGCATCTCAGTGCTCAGCATAGCGCTGATTGTTGCACAGCAGACACGGACGGGGAGCTGTGTGCACAGGAACTTCTTTAATTGGATGGTAGGTGCCGTCGCTGTGTCCGCTTTGCAGCTTGGGGAAATCAAGGCACAGAGAGCTGGAGGGACTTGCCCAACATCTCATAGGCAGAGAGGTCGGTGGTGCGATTTGGCTATAGGAGAGGAATAATTTAATGTGGGTTGGATGCTAGATGCTTTGCTCAGACACAGCACATCAGAGGCACGTGACTTGATCGTGTGTACAGGTGGCCCAGGTGGAAATTTCCAGGAACTTTGAGCTGAAGCTCCAACTCTGTACAGGTGTGTGGCTTTGGTGGAGTAATATTTTGTTACTTGTGTGTGAATGTGTTGGTGTGATGTATGCACGCACACATGTTTGTATGTGCGTATGTATATACATATCACACAGGTGTACAAGCATGGTATATGTATGTGCTGGTACATGTGAAGGTAGGAGTCAACACTGGGTGTCTTCCACTGTTTGAGGCAGCTCTTTCTTTAAACGGGCTCATCTAGAGTTGCTAGCCAGTGAGCTCTGGGGAGCCGCCTGTCTCTAACCCCCAGCACTCAGTACATGCCAAGTACCTGCGCTTTTAAGGCCCGGAAGCAGAGAGGCTGTGCTCTCTAGAGCAAGGTGGTTTAAGTCAGACAGGCTCGGACATTCTCTTAGATCTCTTAGGTGCTCTTATCTTTTCTCCTTTGTAGTGCAGCTGAGGTATCTTAAGAGCTGAAGGCTGGCATCACTTTTATCATGTGCTTGACTTCCTTTGTTACCTACGATTCCTAAGCGTAGCCCCTGATTGTGTGGGACTGAACTGTCGCTCTGGCCGGTGAAGTCAGTTGCTTTCTACCTGTGGCCTGTTTATAACACATTTGTCTTTCCTGTCCTTTTCCTACTATACTAAAGCTTCTCCAGGCCAGTTGACCGAGGTATTAAAATAGTTTTCTGGGACCCTCAACATGTGTCAGGAAAGAACTGTGACTCACAGTCAGCAAGTCACCCTCTCATCCGTGTTCATGTTTGGCACATCTAGGATCCCAGGCTCCTGTTCCCTTCTCAGAGCTCTCCAGTTTATTTGCAGCAGATTTTTCCCACAAACATAACATCCTACCATCTCATTTGCTCCAATTAAACTCTGTTTTACATGCTTTCTTCTCTCTGGGGACTTAGCTTACTTGCCAAGTTAGTTCCTGAATTTTAGTCAAATAGTTCTTTTTCTTTCAATTCACTTTTTTTCTTTAAAGCCACAGTGATCTTTCTGGGGAAACAATGAATTTGTGCCCGGTCGGTGATTATAAAACGAGAGAGCCTCGGCCTTCAGAGAGCCACAGGACTCTTTACTGTGTTTGTGCTTAGTGAAAGTTTGTTTTCAGTAGCTAAAGCTGATGCCACAGTGAGTAACTTCCAAGCACTCTACATCTCGGGTTTTCCCCTGCAAAGTGAGCTGGCCTGCAGATTATCTAAGTCCCTCTGAACTTGGCACTGTCCACTGAATTCACATGTGTGAGTAAAGAGGGATCTTTGTTATGAACAGAGGCGTGGAGGAGCAGATCCGCAGGCCCTTTGGTCTCTGAGGCAGATACATTATAGTGAAGGAGTGTTTGTGTTTTCTTCCGTAGACTCCCCGGCAGGCACCACAGTGATGGAGTACATGAGCACTGGAAGTGACGAGAAAGAAGAAATTGATTTACTGATTAAGCACTTGAACGTGTCCGAAGTCATAGGCATAATGGAAAACCTTTATGCAAGCGAAGAGCCAGCAGTGTTTGAGCCCAGTCTGATGACCATGTGTCCAGATAGCAATCAAAACAAGGAGCATTCAGAGTCGCTGCTTCGGAGTGGCCAGGAGGTGCCCTGGCTGTCATCTGTCAGATATGGGACTGTGGAGGACCTGCTTGCCTTTGCCAACCATATCTCTAATACCGCAAAGCATTTTTATGGACATCGCCCACAAGAATCTGGAATTTTATTAAATATGGTATGTTTCTTCTGATCAGTTGAGTACTGTGTGTTCAGCTTTACTGACGTGGCTTCCCTGAATGCACAGCTTGGCTGAGGGTGGCTAACAGACACAAGTCTCAAAGAATGTAATTATTGGTAAGAATCACCTCTGTGTTAACAATGGGAAGGAAATCTTCACGAAAGTTCCATTTCAGGAGTCTATAAGTTAGTAGTAATTCTATGAAGAAGCAATAATGAATATGCTCTGTTTTCTCAGTGGTTGGGCATGCAAGATAAGCACTGTCCCCTCGGACTACACCGCCCCCAACCCTTACAGATGTGTTTTGACAATTCCTTTAAAGGCTCATCATTATATTCAGAGAAGAGAGGGTCTTAATGGGAGTTCATCAGGCAGAGATGAATGAAGGCTGGCTTAATGATTTTGAAAAAAAAAAAAAACACAATTATTTTTTCCTCTTATCACATTTGGTTAAATTTGGTTCTTGCAGAAATGCAGCATATAGGTGGCAAATAGTTATCCACAGATTCACCCTCTTTAAGAGGCGATGACCCATAAGTGATGGAGTTGCTTAGTCATCCCAAGTATGCAGATAATCCAAAAATATTGTGTCAACTCTCTGTTGCCACAATAGTTGGTCAGGTGGAATGTTTAGGTGTGTCTGGAATCGTCAGGTCCTTAGTGTGTCAGAGGTGAACACGTGGGCGATGGATAAGAGGTGATCTAATTTTGTCAAAAGGACAGTTTGCTAAAGAGTAGGTGGTAAATTGAAAACACACCTGTCGATAGGTGCGTCTCTCCTTCTCTCGGTGTGTACAAACCACAGCATGGCCTGTGCTGCAGATCTGTTGCCGAAGAATCTGAGTCAGGACAAAGGAAATAATAATAATAAATAATAATTTTTTATTATCATCTCACATTCATTTAATGAAAGGCAGCACAGTAATTCAGGTCAGCTATGTAGTGAGTTGTTTTGCTAGTGGACAATTGTTTGGCTCAGTATGAAGCAAGCTCAAGTTCTGCAAGGGGTGTGACTTCCTTTAGTGTGGGTCCGCCACGCCACATTTAACAGTGGACGAAAAGCTTTGCCTGTGGAGTATGACTTCGTTTTATAAATGGGAATTCATCATTTGAAGCAGGAGCCATACCTGATTTCCTCAGCCAGAGTAAAGCTAGAGGAGCAGGCATCAAAATAACACACGTGTGAACAGCGACAAACACAATGCTGACCTAGTTCTTCCTGTTTTGTTTTGTTTTGTTTTCAATAAGTGATAAATGAAGACAAGTGGGATGAACTGAGCATTCTTGCCTGTAAATATAGAGGCTTAGGTGTGCCTGCCCTCACTGAGGAGAGGTGGACCATGCTCTGTGAACACAAGGGAGTGTTAGGCACTTTTAAAGAACACCGAAAAGCAGCTTCTTATTTCTCTTTAGGGGTAGAACCAGAAGAGCTAATGCAGAAAGGGCCGGAAACCACAGTCATTAGCAGGAAGTGAAAACTTGACCAGCAAAAGGTGCAAGTGAAGTTTTGTCATTCCTCGCCACAGAGCCCATGCTCCATAAATGAGCAAATGTAAACCAAAAAGAAGATGTGAGATTCAAAGAGACCATAAGAATCATAAAAAGCACTTGTATTTTTTTTTGTTGTTGTTGTTTTTAGTGCTGAGGGATATAAAATATACAGCCAGAAGACCAAAATGAATGGAATGATGGGGAACAGAATGGAATTATAGCCCACAGACATGTGGATCTGACCCCATTAGGCCTGCGCCTCTGGGGATTGTGTTTGACTTTCCTGATACTGGCATTTAAAACGAAGTGGTTGCCTATGGCTGGTGGCAATCTGTCACAGCTGTGTGCCTATCATAGGTGATTGCCTATGTGTTGGTCTCCGGTCACAGCTGGTGTGACATAATAGTGACAGGCATGTCTTGCTTTTAACCTCATCGATTCTGGTGTGGCACTTTCTGTGGACCCATCTGTCATCTAGTCAAGACCTTTCTTTTCTCCTCCTCCATCTGCAGATTTAGCAAAGCTGTGTGCTTTGGGACAGCTTTGCCGTTTGTTCTTTGTCTCTCTGTATTAGAGAATTAGCTGCCTCCTAGATTGGGCCCATAGTAGTATATGTTCATAATAGCTTCCTACCTAGGGATAGAAAGCCTTATTTACCTGCTTGTTCATTTGCTAGACAGAGCTGGGACAGTCGCAGTGTATCGGGCTATTCCAGGTACTGGATAGAGTTCCAAGTAGTCTGTCACTGCCTGGTGCTACAGGAGGCAAAGGAACAGGTAAAGCAACACGCTGTGCTCAGCCACAGCGTATCTACACCCTGACAGCTGTGGGAAGGCTTAGACAGGATTTCTCACACCCATGAGTATGAGGAAGGGAAGGAAAAAGGAGGATGTTGGCACAGGCTTCCAAGAGGAATCTTGATGCCTTATACCTTGATCTTGATCTTATACCTTGATGCCAAGGTATAAACATCAAGTTGGAGCCAGGCAAACGAAGTGAAGAGGGTTTTGAGTGAAGGAACAGCATGTGCAAAGGCTCAGAGGCACAGAGATGTGGTGTGTTCAAGCAGCCACCGCCTACCGTGCTGCAAAGCTAATTAGATAGGGTGGAGAGGCACAGATAAAAACAATATCCCAAAGCATGGGCATGCCGGATGGTTCTCCCAGGCTTGGAACTATATGTGTGCTATTTCCCTGAAAATAATACCTGTTTAATATTGCACTAGCGTCCAACAAAACCCAAGGAGAGGGTATCAGGAGACTAACCTAGGGACCACTCGGTGTCAGAGTGCAGAGTTCTTTATAACCAGTTTGTACAAGATCCGGAGTTGAATTGAAAGTGAGTCCCTAAGCATCCAACCCTGCTGCTTGTAGGCAGATCCAAGACATCCCCCCCACCTCCCCCTGTATTTGTTCACTCACAGTTACTGGTGTGGCATTCAGAATGATGACCTCAGGACTTAGTTATGGGGTTGAAGGGTCCAGCTCTCTACCTGATGTTTGAACCAGGCAGTTCAGAATCCTAGTGGAACTATTTGCTTTGTTCTTCCAGACCTGTTAGGAAGAGCACTGTGTCCAGTGCTAACATTCGTCACGTTCTTCTTATATACAACCCTATCCACCTCTGACTCCCCCTGACCTTAGATTCTACTCTTTGCTCCACTCTCACCCCTAGTAAGTGTCTGTGGCGGGTAGTGGTGACGGCTGAGGGTTCTGAATTCAGAGCCTGGTATGTCGTTTGCCTTTGAAATGGAAACCCTTACGGCCTGTCTTCCCAGCCAGCACGTGAACATGGAGGTCCACTCAATGGCCAGGAGGGTAGGAGAGGCGTAGCTTAGCCTTTGTTGTAGAGAATCTGTTTCCACAGATGTAGTGGAAGACCTCTTCTGCTTCACAGGAGCCAGGTCACACAGCTCATTCAATAAAACACCTAAGAAATGTCCTCAAGTACTGTCCCCCCCCCCCCCGTTCAGTGTACAGCAGTCTGGTGGAGGGTACGTCTAGTGTCTGCCCTTGACAGTGACTTTGGTAAGTTGGAGAATTGGCAGAGATAAGCAGCACAGGGTTCTGCTAGGTTGTTTAGAGGGGACCCTAGAAAGGAAGAAATTAAGGATTAAAAATCCATGTCAAATCCAAGCAGGAATAGTGTTAGAGAAAGGCCCAGGACTGCTGTGAATGGCTCCCTGGCTGGGACTTGGGCCTCACCAGGTGAGGTCAGGAGGCTTTGAAGAACCCGGGTCTGTCCCCTAGCATGGCTTTAATTATAGCCTTCTGGTACCCCAAAGGCTCTTAGACAAAGAGTGGGAGCTCCGGCTGTGGGGGTAGGCAGACCTGTGTGCAAATCCTAACTCTGGCACTGATTGGAGAGTTGCTTCACCCCTTGAAGCCAGCCTCAGCTATGCAATGGAAATAAAAATAGAACCTAGCTCGGGATGGTTTGTAGACTTTGATGAGACAATGCAAAACAGCAGCACTGCTCCTGGTCCTTAATTAGCTCTCGATGTGTGTTACATGTTCCTTCCCTCGATCCTCTTGGATGGAATAAGGGGATGGAGCTGGGTCATAGCACACTTAGTTTGATCAAAAGCCAAACTCTCATGAACATGGGTTAAACCCTGAGATGGTTAATCAGAACATTTTGTGAAAGACAAGAAGGGCACCCCAAGCAAGTGCAGCTGGAGCCCTAGCTCTGTCCAGATGTGGAGGAGTCCACAATATCCTCAGCATGCTGCAAAATGAGGTCTACAGTGGCAAGCAGCAATGCTTACTTGGAGAGGCGGTCATCATATTTTAAAAGAAACAAGATCATGCTCTCTACTTACTTCCTGAAGGACCTAAGCAGAAGCACCCTGTAACTATTAAGTTTTAAATTTGAATTTGAATTTTGCATTTCCAAATATTGGGTTATGCTTCACTTCCTCCCCTAACAGCAAGCACGTGTTTGTGGACTGAGAAGCTAAATTAGCAATAATGGAGGTTGAGTGAGCAGCCCTTTGCTCACAGGCCTATAATGAATAGCCACCTAGATACACCTGCGGTTAATCAAGTGTTTGCTCTTCTCCTATGGCTTACAGGCTCCACGTTTTCTTCAGCTAAGTACTCTTTCAGTCATAATCCCTAAGTAATATCTCAGGCCAGAAAAGTCTCCAATCACACTGAGCAAACAGCTGGCACTTGGGAGACTGTCCCTCAGAACAGTTTTGACCAGCGGTTCTCAACCTATGGGTTGCAGGGGCCTCATGTCAGATATTTACGTCATATAGATTTATATTACAACTCATAGCAGTGGCAAATTCATACAGTTATGAGTTAGCAACAAAAGAGTTTTCTGCTGGTCACCCCAGCATGAGGAACTGCATTAAAGGGTCGCAGCATTAGGAAGGTTAAGACCCACTGCTCTAGACATTTTAAGAGCATGTGTTCCAGGCCATGTTTCCCATGGACTACCTTTTTGTCTGAATTGGGGTATTTACTTTTCATTTACTTGCTTAATGTCTTTGAGACAGGCTTGCAGCCCTGACTGGACTGGCCTTCACCATTCTGCCTCTGCCTTCCCGGTGCTGTTTTTCTGTTGTGTCCCACCATTATGGACTTCAGCTCTTGCTGTTCTACGTGGCTGGCTTTGTTTCTGTTTTTGTTCTTTGCATCGAAGCATGTTTTGTTTGATGTTTGTGTATTGGTTGGACGTCAGTCCCAGGACCCTTTGTGTACTCGGCAGGTGCTTTACCACGGAGCAGCAAACACTCACGGCCCCAAGTCTGCTTGTTCTGAAAAGACCAGTTCTAAAGGTTTTTGCTCATGAACCCTTGGAGATGTGGACCCACCTATCTCTGCTCATGGCTGCTCCTCAGCACCAAACCTGTCCCAGGACACATATTAGGCATGCAGTAAAATTAAGCGAGGAAGCCAAAGAGAAACAACTCTGCCCTTCTTTATTTATGGAGCATTGAAAACTCATGACTTTGGCATCACACACTGGTTCCACGAGCCTCGCTGAGCCTCAGTTAATTTCCATGCTCTCTCTGTGTGCATCATGCATGAGTAATAGCCAGGCAGACGAACAGGTTAGCACATTTTAATAGAAACAAGTCAACCTCGAGGCTGAGGTGCAGCCTTTGTTTTTAATCTTCGGGTCACCATCGTCAGGCTCCTTAGATAAATAATTTTTCAACTTCTATTTGGCATCTAACTACTCATAAGCATTTGGAAATATGAGCAGGTTAGACCAGGAACCTGTGTCTGTTACAAGCTTTCTCTGTCTTGCTCAAGTTCTAAATATAGCCTGTAATGTCAGAATTACACACGGTCCTACCGCATTGGAGTCCTATGTGTCAGAATGTTTCTGAAATAGCCTCTACCGAGTGGGCTTCACCGTAGCATCTTTATTTCCTCACAGGTAATCAGTCCCCAGAATGGACGATACCAAATTGACTCTGATGTTCTCCTTATCCCTTGGAAGCTGACATACAGGAGCATCGGCTCTGGTTTCGTGCCACGGGGGGCCTTTGGAAAAGTGTACTTGGCACAAGACATGAAGACCAAGAAAAGGATGGCGTGCAAACTGGTGTGTGCATCCATACTTTTGTGTCTGACTTCCTAGCTTGGGGTTATTTGCCTTGACCCCAGGTTCTACTCTTACGCAGGGTCTTGCCTAAGGTTCCTACCCTCAAAATGTCTGTCATTTCTGGAGTGGCTGGTGACCTGGACCATTCAGCTCATACATCTCTACTTAGGTGTCTTGTAGCTTGTAGTCTAATTAAAAGAATGGTTTTGTGTGTTTGTCAAATGGCTGTCTCCCTTAGATGGGAGCAGGCAAGCAGGGGAGATAGAAGAGCAGAGCCGGGTGTAGCTCCTGTCCATGGCAGGCAGCAGAGACTAGGAAAACAGGAGTTCCTCAAGACTGGAGATTGATAGGGCTGAATTCAGACGTACCAGTTGCTGAAATGGCCCCATCTCTTACTAAACAATGGCTTCTTAAAATTAATGTATTGCTACTTCAGCAGACTGCTGGACAGACTGGCAGCTGAGAACATCCACATCCGCCGTGAGCCAGTAGCTTCGGTGCTTGGTCACACCCAGCAGAGGTGTGTCCATGTGCGTGACTATTCTGGGCTGTTCATTTCAGCCCTGTTTGCTGAAGTAGCACTCTGGGAACTTCCCAGATTCCATCAGGTGAACACTGATGCTCTGTCACCCTACACCATAGAGAGAAAGAGTGGTTTACACTAAAGCATTGTGGGTGCACCTCAGAGCCCTTCCACTCGGAGAGTTAGACACAAAATAAGATCTCCTATATGAGGTTCCATTTATACTAAGAACAAAAACAGAACCACAGATTCGGCCAGGTGCCGTGACCCTTGCAACACAGTGACTGCAGAGAGTCGGGGGACTCCTGAGAACTATGGCGTTTTTACTTCAGTCGGGAATCACATTCGTAGGCCCAGTGGATGATTCATTGGGTTTGACACCATTATAAAGTGTAATGGAGTTAAATATTATTTTCTATTCTTTTCGTAGTGCTTGAAATTAAACCTGGGACCTAATTTATCCTAAGCAAGTACTCCACCACTGGGCTATATCTCCAAGCCCCAGTGTTTACTCTCGACTTAGCAAAAAAGTAAAATAAATACTAGTTGCCAGATCCTCTGTTTCTGTCTCTCATACTAACCACAAGACCAATAATGTGTTGTCCTTAATTTGTTCTTTAATTATGATTAACCTAGGTAAGCCTTTAATACCACACTTGGTGGGCAGAAGCAGGCAGATCTCTATGAGTTCGAGGACAACATGGTCTTCATAGTGAGTTCCAGGCCAGACAAGGCTACATAGTGAGTGAGACCTTATCTCAAAAAAAAGGAGAAAAAAAGAGGTAAAAAAAAAACAACAAAAAAAAAAAAAAAAAAACACAAAACAGACTGACTAGATAATCTATTATTTAAAAAAAAAAAACTATTTGAAGTAAGTTTTTGAAGTGAGCTGTTTGAAGGATCTATCTACAGGGACCCTCCCAAACCGTAAGTTATCTCAATAACTTTTATAAAAATCAGAGACCCGGTGTTGTATTTGTAAATTCTACTACAAAAGTGTGTGAAAATGGCTTTGTGAGTTGGTTGTCCTTTTAGTATTTGTAATATTTAAATATTTAAGGAAATATTTTTCTTAAGAATATCAAATAAACAGTTAAAAATCCCAGACAGGCTCAAAAGGATGGGGTCTTGTGGATGGGGCTGCCTTCCTGAGGATGATCACTATCAGGAAGTTATTTTCTCAGATATGTGCATGTCATCATTTTAAAACAATATCTGAGCTTCTACAATTGGCCTTTTGCCCCAGCACAATATTTGGAGATATTTTGGAATTACTCTGCTGTGCAAATACTGTTTAGCACAGTTCTTCTTGATGGAGGACTGAGTTTTCATAGGATATAAATATGGATGAGCACTTATTGTAAAGGCTTGAGCATGAAGGGGCCAGTGACTTCATTGGCCGCACAATACGGTGAGATCTTGAAAAACACAGTGTTCTAGGGGCCACGGAGATGCTGTGTATTGATCATTGGAAACTCTCTTAGCTCATTCAGTATATTGAAACCTATTTTCGATTCCTAAACTCTAAATGAAAGGATTTTTTCCCTACCTTGTTTTTAATGTCTAAAAAAATTATGTCTAAAGATGACATAATGTAGAAACGGGTCTGTGGCAAACATTTTTTGATGCCACAGTGCCCTGTTGTACGCATCAAAGTGTCCTTGTGTTATGTTGGCTTCTGGTTTTCGGGTTGATCTGAATTACCTGGGGTTTGTTTGATCATCTCGGGGTTGTTTAGACTCTTGTCCTTGTTTTGTGTTGCCAGATCCCCATAGATCAGTTTAAGCCGTCGGATGTGGAAATCCAGGCTTGCTTCCGGCACGAGAACATTGCTGAGTTATACGGTGCAGTCCTATGGGGTGACACTGTCCATCTCTTCATGGAAGCAGGCGAGGGCGGCTCTGTTCTGGAGAAGCTGGAGAGCTGTGGGCCCATGAGAGAGTTTGAAATTATTTGGGTGACGAAGCACGTTCTCAAGGGACTTGATTTTCTGCACTCCAAGAAAGTGATCCACCACGATATTAAACGTGAGCAGTGGGTCCTACTCACGTTGGGGTTTGATGGGCCTCGTTAGACGGAGACCAGTGAGACACTCTAACCCGAGGCGCAGGCAGTACAGCTCTCTGCAGACACAGCTCGTCTTCATCTTCCTTTTTTGTGTTCCTGAAAGAGCTCATAGAAGCAAGCCCAGTTGCTAAGAATGCTAGCAGCCGGAAGCGAGGGTGATGCCTGAACATTGATAAAAGATTTATGACCACATATCTGTTGGTCTGTTGGGTGTGCTGCCTCTGTCCTTGTGTTGTGATTTAAAAACAACAATGCAACACAGAGGGTATGTATGGCAAAGGGGTAGAACTGCTTAGCTCGCACAGGCCCTGGGTTTGATGCAAAAGCACACGCAGACACACACACACACACACACACACAGTAGTTTACTTAATGCAAACATGGAGGCATATATTTTTGAAGAACAAGTATTTTCTTAATTTTGAACCATAGCTTGGCAACAATTCATTAAGCAATCTCTTTAAAAAACAATTGCTACACCTCAGCTACGGTGTAGAAATAAACCACAGAGACTCACTATCGATCTTGAATACCTAGTGCTAAATTGGACAACCACAAATTTAACCAGAAAGAAAATATATAAATATATATTTTTATATATATATATTTATATTTATATATATATTTTTTTTTTTTTTTTTAAACACCAGTAGGTTGATAGTGGTTGCCTATATTTTAAAATTTGAAGCCCAGGCCTTGAGCTTTGCTGATGGTATCTGCCCATGCTGGGTGGGTTCTTGAAAGGTCCAAATGCTTTTCACCTGACCTCTTGCCTACATGTCTCTTCTGGGTGTGCTACGTCTGTGTCATTATCAGAAGCATTTCTTTTTCCTCTGATTGGGACTCATTGTTCTAGATGATGTTTTCATGTTGGGTTGGGATATAGTCACTCATATTAAAAATTCTTCTCATTGCAGCTAGCAATATTGTATTCATGTCTACAAAAGCTGTTTTGGTGGATTTTGGCCTGAGTGTTCAAATGACTGAGGAGGTCTATCTTCCCAAGGACCTCCGAGGAACAGAGGTAATTAGTGTGAAACTGTTACTATCATGTTAAGAATAGAAACAATGTTCTAGAAATGCTGTGGCAAAGAACAAAGAAGGGGGTAAAATGACAGCATTCAAGCATCATTGTCATCAGAACAAATTTATTTTACTTTTTACCTTTTTTCTCTGCTGTTTATATGATAAGACTTTAAATATATATGATTATATTTACAGACATCACTTGTTACTGTGTTTACATGTGCAACACAGAGCACTTACAAACACATCAGTGCTGAAATATAGGAGCAGCTGAGCGTTCCTAATCCAAATCTAGAGAGCTATGCAAGAGCTGGCGAAGTCAGTAAGTAAAGGTCCTGCTGCACAAGCCTGAGGACCCGAGTGCAGATCCTGAGAGCCCACACAGAAATGAGAATGGTAACCCCAGTGTGACGATGGGTAGATAAGAGCCTCCTCCAAACCTCACCGGAGCGCAGCCTGAATACACAGCAGCGAATAAGAGATCCTGGCTCAAGATAGGAATGTATTATGTGACACAGGTGCAGTTCACAGGCGCACATCAGACAGACAGACATATAAAAGATGGGGAAAAAAAACCCCACAGGTGTATCTGAATATTCCAAAATATGAACTCCCAAATCGGAGATGTTTTTTGATCCCAAGCTTCTCAGATAAGGGGTATCAACTCAACTTGTAGATTCAGAATTCTCCTTTTAAACAATTACAGAATAATGGCCAGTTTATAGTAAGCCTTGTTCTTTAAAAGCATTATTTCTTCCTTAAAATAACTTTACTGTGGGTAAATGCTGTTATTATAGCAGACGGGTGATTGCTTTATCCTATTTTGTAAGAAGGCAATAAACATGGAGGGAATGTGACATGGTGCCTGACATAACTCAGTTACCGGCAGAGCCTGAGCTTGAATTCTTAGAGAATAAGGAAGTAGGCTTTTTTGTTTTCCTAGTCTTTATTTTCTAAGGATTTGGACTCTAAATTCTGGGTAACTTACTAACATGTTACTGCATATCAAACAATGGCTACTCCAGTTCTTGTTTCAGTTTTTGTTTGTTTTGTTTTTTCAAGACAGGGTTTCTCTATGTAGTAATAGCTGTTCTGGACTCACTTTGTAGACCAGGCTGTCCTCGAACTTAAAGATTCACCTCTGTTGTTCTGGCTGTTGGCATTTACTGAGAACTGACAACCAAGGCTGGTCTGTCTTTTAGCTAGGAATAGCATAAGCCTAGAGTTTCGTCAGCACAAACGCACCCTGTTTGAAGCTATGGTGATAAAATATAACTAATTGGTAAATCAAAAGTGAGGCTAATGGGAAGCTACCTGGGAGCTAACTGGGAAATCCCTTCCGGGTCTGAAGGAGTTTCTGCAACTCCTTTGTTTTGATTTGATTTCTGTGAGACAGGCCTTACTCTGCAGCCCAGGCTGATCTGGAATTCATAATTCTCCTGTGTCAGCCTCCACCCCTCCCCCACTGAGGTCAAACTAGCTCTGTAGGCCTCTTTTTAAATTAAAGAATGTTTGCTTCCCACTTCTGAAGAGTGTCTTACCATGGTAGAAAGCCTGATCAAACTTAATGCTCAGGGCATCTTTCTCAGCACTTTTTGGCATTAGTCAGGAACTCAGTTCTGGGACATTCCACCCTCTTCTCTGGAACCAGTTTGAGAAACAAACTATTTATGGTATTAGAGGGGAAAAAATACCTTTTGCTTCCTGGCAGTGCAGTTAAGTTGGAAATTATGCAATGTTGGAGAAAAGCTTGAGTTTCTGGGATTCTCCATCAGGATGGTTGGGTGTAGAGTCACATATCTTGGCCATCAATAAATTCTTTTTATTTGAGTTTGGGATAGCTCAGGCTGGCCTCAAATGCACTGTATAGCCTTGTCCTCAATAGCCTCTTGTCCCTGCCTCCTGTGTGCTAACTAGAATTATGGGGCATATACCACCCTGAGTAGTATTTAGATGAAGTATTTAAGCCAGAGATAATTTCTGTGTCTTCACAGACAGTAAGCACAGTTTCTTTCTTAACTGTGTTTGATTGTTTTCAACAGCAGGCTCAAAGCTGGTCCTGTTGTCTGTTCTTATATCCCGCCCCTGACAGTTGTGTCGCTTGTAATGTCTGCACAGGGCTCACAAACAAAAGTTTGATTATGGCCAGTGTGAAAACGATAATGAAGTCCCGATGCAAACTTTCAACATGTCTGTTTTTACTCCTTATGCTAAAGAGCAATTTAAACATTACTAGCCAGGCAAACAGGCAGGTTTGCTTCCCATCAGAGTACGGATCCCTTGGCTGTTGGGAAGCCAATGACCATTTCATATTTCTGCAATATAGCTCACCAACACAAGCCACCTCTGGATCTCTCCTCTCCCTGCCCCCTTTCTTCCCCCTCCTCCACCCCCTCCCCCTTTTTGTCTGCGTTCCTTTTCAGAGTGTCATACTGTTAATGTGAGTGTTACAGTATAGCCACATATACCCAGAGTTAATTTGGCAGGTATTTGTTGGGTTTTAGTTACATGGCTCAAAGGGAAAATGTAGGAAGCCTAAATAACATACTAGAATCACTTTGCTGTTTTCTTACTTTCTTCTGAGTCTAGTGTTAACGTCTGTAAGCTAACACACAGTGGTCATTTGCGCATGTGCTAATGCAGTCTCTTCTCCTTGCTGTGAAACAGGAGGCCTTGCCTCTGACCTCAAGTTCCCCTGCTCTTGCCCGTTCCTGGGGTCTAGGGGGGACACTCTGGGGCAGGGCTCTCAGTTCTGACCCAAGCCTTCCAGGCAGCCAGCCCAGAGGCAGACCTTTCTGACCTGCCTGTTCTGGTTCTGTCCAGAGCTTGAGGAGGAAGAGACATTTGTTGGAAGCCCCTGGCTGTGTGCCCAAGGGCCTGCACCCCGGTCACTGTGACTGACTGGTACTGTCAGCTCCAAGCATAGGCTGGGCATTTGAATTTAAGAGCTGTAACCCCGCCCATACATACAGTTTGCTTTGTACTCTGTGTGACAGAGGGAGAAGAGGCAGGCGTCCTCCACTGACAGTAATTTAAGCACGCAGTTCCTTTCTTAACTGCATTTGATTGTTTTCAACAGCAGGTCCACCCTCTTGGCAAGTTGTAGATGAGTAACTCCTTGTTGAACACAGGGTATGATGTTGAATGTTTAATTTTGTAACCCTGTGATTGAGATTATGTTTATTAAAAAGGTCAAGAGACCATACTGTGTGCATTGTCTTCAGGGAAAGTGGGGGGGATGTGGGGCTCCCTGTAGCCATCTTGCTGAGGGCAGAAGGAAGCCAGCAAGGAAGTGTGTTTTAGGAAGGAGTTGAGCAGGCTAAGATGGGGAAACTGGGCAATTTCCCCGTTTTTGTAAGCTGATTTTCTACTTATTTACTCAGAAATGAATTCTGAGAACTCTAACCCCTTCCTCATGTTCACATGACAGGATAAAAACTTTTTAAAGCTGAGGACAGGCTGAACATCATACCTGAAAGGCTTGGGGTCAGGAGTGGTTCATACTTTTGACCCCTTCCCTCCTGCCACGTCCCCTCCCCTACCTCCTCTTCCTTTTCTTCCCTTCTATATTCTGCTTTCTTCCTCCCCTCTCCTATTCCTTTGCTTATTCTTTTTTCCTTTCGCTTCATCTTGAGGCATTTGTGTGGTGTTGCTGTGACTGATGCTGAGGATGCCCCAAGTAAGGACACAGGGTTCATTAACCTAAGAGACAGGCAGCAGGGTGTTCTCAGTGGGGCTGTGTTCTTCCTATGGTCTGTCGTATGAGGTCAGATGTGGAATTTTCCACTTGTGGCATCATCCTGCTCAAAAGCTTCTGATTTTGGAGCCCTTTGTACCTTTTCATTAGAACTATTTCATTAGAATAGTTACACGTTATGTCTATGACAGCCCTAATCATGGATTATTAGTGACTAGAGCTTTCTCTTTTTTTTTCTTTTCCATATTAAATTTAGAAACATAACATTCAGAGAAACTTCCCCTACTTACTCAGCATCAACTTGTGAAATCAAATGCAAGTTATGCTTAATTTGGTTTATTTATTTATCTCGATTTTTTTTTTTTTTTTTTTTTTTTTTTTGAGATAAGGTCACAGTCTGAAGCCCAGGCTATCCCTGAGCTTGTGGCAATCCTCTTGCTTCAGACTCAGGACTTACCCACTTCCACTTCTAAGCCATTAATATAAATACCCTGCAGGATTCTGCCACCTGTTAGCGAGTAAATGATACATGGAAAGAGTATATATGTAGTCTCAGTTAAGTCTACGAAGAATTGGGGTTTTAGTAGACAGATGAGTGTGTACATTTAATAGACAGATGAGCATAAGTGACGAACGAACATTTACAGATCGCTGATCAGTGGGAGATCTGAAAATGATCTGTAAATCAGTAGGTTCAAAAATCCAGGCTCTTTGCCATCAGGGAAAGAGCTGCTCTTTGTCACCCTGCAATGATGCCTCCATCAAACCATCCTGACTCTAAAGAGTATCTTGGGACTTTTCTTGGCTTGAGAGATACCGCAGGAACATTCCCTCCGAAAGCCAGAGCATACAACAAGTACCACAGAGGCAAAAGAACCAGGTTCTAGAACTGGACAGGAAGAGGAAAGGTAGATAAAGGATGCTTTCCTTGTCTTTTTCAGATATACATGAGCCCCGAGGTGATCCTGTGCAGGGGCCATTCCACAAAAGCAGACATCTACAGCCTTGGCGCCACGCTCATCCACATGCAGACAGGAACCCCTCCCTGGGTGAAGCGCTACCCCCGATCAGCCTATCCCTCCTACCTGTACATAGTAAGTGAGGGGCAGCTGGGCTGGGTTCAGGGAGTCCCACCATCTCAACAGCACAGCAAGGAGATGGTTGATGGTAAAACTGTGGCCTGCTAAGAGGTGGTTGCAAATTCCATTATTGAAATGAAAGGCTATTCTAATGGAAACTGACTAAAATGAGTAGGCATGATTTATAAGCTCTCCCACTCTACTTTTTGGGTGAAAAAACACACTTAGAAGCATCGGAGTCCTACAGCTCTGTCAGCCAAGGAGGCTATATATGTTCATTGAACATCTTTGAAAGGAAGAAAGTGTAATGATACTGCTTTCTGTTCCTCTCAAACTCCCCTCTCTGGCATAGAATGTGGGAAGGAGGCAGATGCAGGGATTTCCCTGTTGCTGCAGCCACCTCTGGACCCCACAACAAGAAGCTGTCACGGCTAATTCAAACACAGCATGCACTCTTTGCTACATTAAACCAAAACGAGTTTTACTGCCCCCAGGAAGTTGAAGGGTATATGCCAAGGGTTGTGCAGTGGGGCTGGGGTCACTCCCACAGCCTTTACTGTTGAAGATGTGTCTCTAAGCCGTACATGCTGACACAGCCGGTTTGTTGGCAGATCCACAAGCAAGCACCTCCCCTGGAAGACATCGCTGGTGACTGCAGTCCAGGCATGAGGGAGCTGATAGAAGCCGCCCTGGAGAGGAACCCCAATCACCGCCCGAGAGCAGCAGACCTACTGAAACACGAAGCCCTGAATCCCCCTAGGGAGGACCAGCCACGATGTCAGAGTCTGGACTCTGCCCTCTTTGAACGGAAGAGGCTGCTAAGCAGGAAGGAGCTAGAACTTCCTGAGAACATTGCTGGTAAGACACCCTGCTGTGCGTGTGTGGGCGTGTGCCTGAGGAGCCACTGGCCTCCCTCCTTCTGTCCACAGCAAACCTCTGATGTGGTCCTGAGTGTGTGTGTGTGTGTGTGTGTGTGTGTGTGTGTGTGTGTGTGTGT